GATCACCCAAACCCAACTGGGATCACCCAAACCCAACCGGGATCATCCCAAACCCAACTGGGAACATCCCAAACCCAACCAGGATCACCCAAACCCAACTGGGATCACCCAAACCCAACTGGGATCAGTCAAACCCAACTGGGATATCCCAAACCCAACTGGGAGGTGCTGAATCACCCAAAAGTGGGGAAAAAATGGGGAAATTGGGTGGTGCTGAACCATCTGAAATTGGGGACAAATTGGGGAAAATGAGTGGGCTGAACCACCTGAAATTTGGGACAAAATGGGGAAATGGCTGGTGCTGAACCACCCGAAATTGGGGACAAAATGGTCGTGCTGAATCACCCAAAAGTGGGGAAAAAATGGGGAAATTGGTGGTGGTGAATCACCCAAAATTGGGGACAAAATGGCGAAATTGTGTGATGCTGAACCAGCCGAAATTGGCGGAAAAATGGGAGAATCAGTGGTGCTGAATCACCCAAAACTGGGAACAAAATGGGGGAAATGGGTGGTGCTGAACCATCAAAAATTTGGGACAAAATGGGGGAAATGGGTGGTGCTAAACCAGCCGAAATTGGGGACAAAATGGGGGTGCTGAATCACCCAAAAGTGGGGAAAAATGGGGGAAATGGGTGGTGGTGAATCACCCAAAATTGGGGACAAAATGGGGAAATTGGGTGATGCTGAACCACCCAAAATTGGCGGAAAAATGGTGGTGCTGAACCACCCGAAATTGGGGAAAAAATGGGGGAATCAGTGGTGCTGAATCACCCAAAATTTGGGACAAAATGGGGGAAATGGGTGGTGCTGAACCACCCGAAATGGGGGACAAAATGGGGGAAATTGGGAGTGTCAGGAACCCAAAAATGGGGGACAAAATGGGGAAATTGGGGGTTGGGGGTGTTGGGACCCTGAAAATTTGGGACAAAATGGGGGAAATGATGACAAAATGGAGGACACGAGGTCTGGGTGACATCAACCCCTCAAAACTGGCGACAAAATGGGGGAAATGAGGGTTGGGGGGGTGCCACCACTCCCCAAAATTGGGGACAAAGTGGGAGAAACAAGGTTTGGATGATATCAACCCCCAAAAATTGGGGACAAAGATGGAGACGTGAGGTCTGGGTGACATCAAGCCCCAAAAATTGGGGACAAAGAGGGGGAAACGGCGACTGGGTGGTGTCACCACCCCTGAAATTGGGGACAAAAAGGGGGACGTCACTTTGGGGCTGGGAATCGCCCTTTTGGGGGTTTCTTGAGGAGCTCCTTGGGGTTGGAGATGGCAGCGAGGGGACAGAGGGGACAATGAGGGGACAATGAGGGGACAGGGAGGGGACAGAGGGGATAATGAGGGGATGGCGGGACAGGGATGGGACAGAGGGGACACTGAGGGGACAGGGAGGGGACAGGGGGGACAGCTGACCTGGAAGTCGGCCAGGGACAGCAGCAGCTCGGGCAGCCAGGGCAGCTGGAACAGGAACAGGTAACAGGAACGGAGCAGCTGCGACGGGTGACGGGCTGAGAACGCTGTGACAGCACAGGGACACCGTGGGGACAGGGACAGGGACACCGTGGGGACAGGGACATCGTGGGGACGGGGACAGGGACACCGTGGGGACAGGGACACCGTGGGGACGGGGACAGGGACATCATGGGGATGGGGACATCATGGGGACAGGGACAGGGGACATCATGGGGACGGGGACAGGGACATCGTGAGGAGACAGGGACACCGTGGGGATGGGGACACCCCCAGTGTCCCCTCGTGTCCCCAATGTCCCCAAGGTGTCCCCAATGTCCCAATGCCCCAAATGTCCCCAGTGTCCCCAATATCCCCTCATGTCCCCAGTGTCCCCAACCTCCCCAATGTCCCCAGAGTGTCCCCAATGCTCCCAATCCCCCCAGTGTCCCCAAATGTCCCCAAGATGTCCCAAATGTCCCAATGCCCCAAATGTCCCCACTATCCCTGATGTCCCCAGTGTCCCCAATCCCCCTGCTGTCCCCACTGTCCCCAATGTCCCCATTGCCCCGACCCCCCTGCTGTCCTCATTGTCCCCAGTGTCCTCAATCCTCCCACTGTCCCCGCTGTCCCCAATCCCCCTGACACTGGGGACACTGGGGACACCTGGGGACACGGGGGACACCTGGGGACACCTGGGGACACCTGGGGACACTGGGGACACTGGGGACACCTGGGGACACTGGGGACAGTGGGGACACCAGGACAGCTGGGGATGCCTGGGGACACTGGGGACACGGGGACACCTGGGGACACCTGGGGACAGCGGGACACTGGGGACAGCTGGGGACGCTGGGACAGCTGGGGATAGTGGGACCCTGGGGACACCTGGGGACACCCGGACATGCAGGGGACACCTGGGGACACCTGGGGACAACTGGGGATAGCGGTAGCACTGCGGGGACAGGCTCAGGGACAGGAGTGGGGTGGGCATGGGGACATTTGGGGACACTTGGGGACATTTGGTGACATTTGGTGACACCTTGGGGGCACCTTGGGGACCCTTGGGGACACTTGGGGGCACGTGGAGGACACTTGGGGGACCCGGTAGGCACCTGGGGGACACATGAGGGACCCTTGGGGACCCTTGGGGACACTTGGGGACATTCGGTGACACCTTGGGGACACCTTGGGGACCCTCGGGGACCCTTGGGGACACTTGAGGACCCTTGGGGACACTTGGGGACACTTGGGGACATTTGGGGACACTGACCAGTTCTGGGGGAAGCCGTGGAGCAGCAGCATCAGGGGGGCACCGGGGGGACCCCGAGTGACGTAATGGAGGCGCAGCCCCGATCGGGGAGATGGGGGGGCCATCGGGGGGGGTGACACAGGGGACAGGGACACCTTGGGGACACCCCCAAATCAGCCCCTCCCCCCGCAGGGACCCCGCCCCCCGGATCTGTCCCAGGAGGAGCCACCGGAGTTGTCACCGCTGGGGGCGTCCCCAAAGCCACCCCGAAGACCCCAAAATTCCCCTCCCCCAATGTCCCCAATGTCCCCAATGCCCCCGCTGTCCCCAGTGTCCCCAGTGTCCCCAGTGTCCCCAACACCCCCAATGCCCCCGGTGTCCCTGACCCGCAGCCGCAGGTGCCGGTGCTCCCCGAAGGTGCCGTCGTTCAGCCCGGGCGGGGCCGTGTCCCTGCGCTGCCACCCGAATGTCGCGCGGGGCCCGCGGCGCAGCAGCAGCGCCACCCCCCAGAGGCCGAAGGCCACCCCCGAGGCCACCGCGGCCACCGCGAGGCCACCGCGGGCCAGCAGCCCCCGCAGCGCCAGCAGCAAACGCGTGGGGGCCAGCAGCAGCGACAGCAGGCGGCGCGGCATGGGGACAGCGGGACACCTGGGGGGACAGGGACATGGGGACACTTGGGGACAGCGGGGACACCTGGGGGGACAGGGACAGCTGGGGACAGTGGGGACAGCTGGAGGGACAGGGACATGGGGACAGTGGGGACAGCGGGGACATGGGGACAGCTGGGGATACAGGGACATGGGGACAGCGGGGACACCTGGGGACAAAGGGACAGCTGGGGACAGCGGGACACCTGGGGGGACAGGGACATGGGGACACTTGGGGACAGCGGGGACACCTGGGGGGACAGGGACAGCTGGGGACAGTGGGGACAGCTGGAGGGACAGGGACATGGGGACACTTGGGGACAGTGGGACACCTGGGGACAGCTGGGACACCTGGGGGGACATGGGGACAGCTGGGGATACAGGGACATGGGGACAGCGGGGACACCTGGGGGGACAGGGACAGATGGGACACGTGGGGACAGCTGGGGACATCTGGGGGGACAAAGGGACACGGGGACAGCAGGGACACCTGGGGACAAAGGGACAGCGGGGACAGCTGGGGATGCAGGGACATGGGGACAGCTGGGGACACCTGGGGGAAAGGGACACCTGGGGACAAAGGGACAGGGGTATGGGGACAGCTGGGGACAATGTGGGGACAGCTGGGGATAAAGCGGGGACACCTTGGGGACAGCTGGGGACACAGGGACAGGGGGACACTGCGGGGACACCTGGCTGTCCCATCCCCAAGGTGTCCCCTATGGCAGGGTGGCCTTGTCACCGATGTCCCACGGCCCCAGGGTGTCCCAACCTCATGGTGGCCCTGTCCCCAGAGTGTCCCCATTGTCCCCAAAGCCCCCAGGGTATCCTCAAAGTCCCCACCTTGTCCCCATTGTCCCCTGAGTGTCCCCATCGTCCCCACAGCCCCTGCAGTGTCCCCACCTTGTCCCCATTGTCCCCACCTTGTCCCCACGGTCTCCACAGTGTCCCCATTGTCCCCAAAGCCCCCAGGGTGTCCCCACGGTGTCCCCACGGTGTCCCCATTGTCCCCACCTTGTCCCCTCAGTGCCCCAAAGCCCCCAGGGTGTCCCCTCAGTGTCCCCTCAGTGTCCCCACTGTCCCCACCTTGTCCCCACGGCCTCCGCGGTGCCGTTCCCAGGATGTGCCACCACCTGTCCCAGTTCCCAGGTGTCACCAGCCCTGGGTGTCACCACCACCCCCAGAATGTCCCCGTTCCCAGAATGTCACCACCCCCAGGGTGTCACCATTGTCTGGGTGCCACCACCCCCAGAATGTCACCACCCCTGGGTGTCACCACCCCTGGGTGTCCCTGTTCCTTGGGTGTCACCATTGTCCGGGTGTCACCACCCCCTGGGTGGCACTGTCAGGAGTGTCACCACCCCCAGAGTGTCACCACCCCCAGAATGTCCCCGTTCTTTGGATGTCACCACGCCTGGGTGTCCCTGTTCCTTGGGTGTCACCACCCCTGGGTGTCACCATCAGGAGTGTCACAATTGTCTGGGTGCCACCACCCCCAGAATGTCCCCATTCCTTGGATGTCACCATCCCCTGGGTGGCACTGTCACGGGTGTCACCATCCCCAGTGTCACCACCCCCTGGGTGTCACCATTCCTTGGATGTCATGCCCCGGGTGTCACTGTCACGGGTGTCACCATGCCCCGGGTGTCACTGTCACGGGTGTCACCATCCCCAGAGTGTCACCACCCCTGGGTGTCACTGTCACGGGTGTCACCATCCCCCGGGTGTCACTGTCACGGGTGTCACCATCCCCAGTGTCACCACCCCTGGGTGGCACTGTCACGGGTGTCACCATGCCCCGGGTGTCACTGTCACGGGTGTCACCATCCCCAGAGTGTCACCACCCCTGGGTGTCACTGTCACAGGTGTCACCATCCCCAGAGTGTCACCACCCCCTGGGTGTCACCATTCCTTGGATGTCACCACCCCCACGGTGGCACTGTCAGGGGTGTCACCATGCCCCTGGGTGTCACCATCGTCTGGGTGGCACTGCCAGGAGTGTCACCATGCCCTGGGTGTCCCTGTTCCTTGGATGTCACCATTGTCCCGGTGTCACCATCCCAGAGTGGGACTGTCAGGAGTGTCACCATTGTCCCGGTGTCCCCATGCCCCGGGTGTCACTGTCACGGGTGTCGCCATTGTCCGGGTGTCCCCATGCCCTGGGTGTCACTGTCACGGGTGTCACCATCCCCAGAGTGTCACCACCCCTGGGTGTCACTGTCAGGGGTGTCGCCATTGTCCGGGTGTCACTGTCACGGGTGTCACCATCCCCTGGGTGGAACTGTCAGGGGTGTCACCATCCCCAGAGTGTCACCACCCCTGGGTGGCACCACTGTCCGGGTGTCACCGCCCCCAAGATGTCACCACCCCACGAGTGCCACCACCCCCAGGGTGGCACCGCCACAGCCCTGAGGTGTCTCTGTCACGGTGTCCTTGTCACGACATGTCACGACATTGGGCTGTCCCTGTCCCTGGGGTGTCACTGTCACCGTGTCGCTGTCCCCAAGGGTGTCCCTGGGGTGTCCCTGTCACGGTGTCCTTGTCACAACGTGTCACGACATTGGGCTGTCCCTGTCACAGGGCAGGTGTCCCTGTCACCGTGTCCCTGTCCCCAAGGGTGTCCCTGTCCCTGGGGTGTCCCTGTCACGGTGTCCTTGTCACGACATGTCACGACATTGGGCTGTCCCTGTCCCCAAGGGGCTGTCACCACACCGGGCTGTCCCCGTCGCTGTCCCTCTCCGGCGCTGTCGCGACATTGGGCCGTCCTTGTCGCCGCGCGGGGCTCTCCCAGCCCCTCCTCTGTCGCGACACCGCCGCAGGGCGTCCCCCCCTCCCCGCCGGCCCCGCCCCCCGGCGCTGATTGGACGGCGGAAAGAGGAGGCGGGACCTTCCGAAAGCAGCCAATGAAAAGCGAGAGGCGTGGCCTGGACTCGGTGGGCGTGGCCTTCACTCAAAAGGGGGCGTGGCCACGGGATATTTTTGTTAATTTTTGGGTTTTTTTTCTCCTTTTTTTCAACTTTTTGCGGCGTTTTTTGCCTTTTCCGCGTTTGTTCCTTTTTAGTTTTTGCCTTTTTTGTCGCTTTCGCGTCTTTTGGGGCCCTTTTGTCCTCCAAAGTTTTATTTGTTCTTAATTTTTGACCTTTTTTCCCTATTTTTAAACCTTTTTCTCCCCTTTTTCATTCCGTTTTTCCTTTTCCTTATTTTTATATTTTTGGTCATTTTAATTTTTTTTTTTTTTTTGGCCTTTCCTGATTTATTTTTCTATTTTCCCCCAATTTTCTTCTGTTTTTTTCCCCCTTTCCTTTCCCCCTTTCTACAAATTTAAACCTTAAAAATCTAAAAATCCAATTGAAAAAAATTCAATTTAAACAAAAATCTCAAATTCCGTCGATTCTGGCTTCAAAATTCCCAAACTTGACCTTTTAAAATTTCAATTTTTTACCATTTCAGGTCGAATTTTGGCTTTTTAAAAATTAATTTTAAAATTTTGATTTTAAAACATCAAAACTTTCAACTTCTAAAAGTCTCAATTTCTGTCGATTTTCCACCAAAATCCTCAAAATTTGGATTTGAAATTTCCAATTTTTGCAAATTTCCACTGAAACCTTTGGAATTTCAATTAAAAAAAAATCTCAATTTCCATTGAATCGATCAAAATTTGGATTTAAAATTCCCAATTTCTGCCAATTTCCACTTAAAATTCCCAATTTCTGCCAATTTCCACCAAAATATTCAAAAATTGGATTTAAAATTTCCAATTTCTGTCAATTTCCACTTCAAAATTCCCAATTTCTGTCAATTACCACTGAAACCTGCAAAATTTGGATTTAAAATTCCCAATTTCTGTCAATTTCCACCAAAATCTTCAAAAATTGGATTTTAAATTCCCAATTTCTGTCGATTTCCACTGAAACCTTCAAAATTTGAATTTAACATTCCCAATTTCTGTCAATTTCCCCACCTCAAATTCCCGTTTTACCGAAAATATTTTGAATTTTAATTCCCATTTTTCCTCCTTTCCCCCCGTTTTCCCCCCTCCCCCTCCCTTTAAATTTTTGGGGATAAAACCGGGGTGGAAAAACCCGAAAATTCCATTTTTTTGTTTCATTTTTTTTTTTTTTTTGGTGTTTTTTATACAAAACCAAACTCGCAGCGTTTTTTATTCCACGATCGGCGAAACCCCGGCGCGGGAATTCCGGGGGGAAAAAACCCAACCCAAATAAAATTAATTAATTATTAATAATTAATCCAACCCCGGGGGGGGAGGGGAGGGGGAAACGGGGAGAATTCCCGGGATTTTGGGCAAAAAGGGAGCGATGGGATATAAAAAAAAAAGTGAATTAAAAAGGGGAAAAATGGGGGGAAAATGGGAATTTTTTTAAATAAAAAATTCCGGGCGTGGCGGCGATTTTGGGGGGAAAGGGGGAGGGGAGGGAGGGGAAAGGGGGAAATTAAAAAATTAAGGAATTTATAAAAAATGAGTGAAAAAGGAGGAAAAAATGGGGGAAAAGGAGGAAAAAAATGGGGGAAAATGGGGGGAAAAGGAGGAAAAAAATGGGGGGAAAAATAGGAGGAAAAAATGAGAAAAAAATGGAAAAAAAAAGAGGAAAAAATGGGGGAGAAAGGAGGAAAAAAATGGAAAAAATGGGGAAAAAGGGAATTTTTAAGGGAGAAATTGAAATTAAAAAAGGAAACGAGGGAAAATAAAAAGGAATTAAAGGGGGGAAAAAAAAGATAAAAAATGTGGGAGAAAAGGAGAAAAATCAGGGAAAATGTAGAAAGGGAAGGGGATGGAAGGAGGGAAAGAAAAAAGGGAAAAAATTAAAAATGGGAATAAAAAAGAAAATTAGAAATAAAAGGGAAAAACAGAAAAAAGGGAAAAAAAAGGAAAAGAAGAAGGAAAATAAAAAGAGAAAATCAGGGGAAAATTGAGAAAAATGTCAGGGAAAAAGAGAAAAAATCAGAGAAAAAAGAAAAGAAAATCAGGAAAAAATTGAAAAAAAATCGAAAATCTCAGGGAAAATTTGAAATAAAAAAAGCAAAAGATCTTGAAAAAATGGAAAAAATCATGAAATTTGAAAAAATCAGGAGAGAAAAGAAAAAATTGGGGAAAATTGAAAAAAAATCATGCAGAAATTAAAAAAATCAGTGGAAAAGTTTAAAAAAATTAGGAAAAAATTTTTAAAAATCTGGAAAAATTTGAAAAAAATCTAGGAAAAATTGGAAAGAAAATCAGGGGAAAATGGGGAAAATTGCACAAAATCAGGGGGAAAATTGAAAAAAAATCAGGGGAGAAATTTAAAAAGTTAATGGAGAAATGGGGGAAAAATCAGGGGAAAAATCAGGAAAAAATTTAAAAAAAAATCGGGAAAAAATTTTAAAAAATCGGGGAAAAATAAAAAAAAAATCGGGGAAAAATTAAAAAAAATCAGGAAAAAATTTTTAAAAATAGGGAAAAAAGGGGAAAAAATCAGGAAAAATTAAAAAAAATCAGGAAAAAATTTTAAAAAAAATCGAGAAAAAATTAAAAAAAATCAGGAAAAAATTTAAAAAAAATAGGGAAAAAAGGGGAAAAAATCAGGAAAAAAAGGGAATTTTTGGGAAAGGAAGGGAAATAAAAAGGGAGGGAAAAAAATTGGGAAAACAGGAGAAATTCCAAGGAAAATCAGGAAAAGAGAAGGGGGGGAAGTCCCTGAGGCCGCGGGTGGGGGAGGGGCCCAAGGCAAAAAAACTTGGAATTCCGGGGTAAGGCAGCCCCGCCCCCGCTCCCATTCCCGAATTTTTTCCGATATTCAACGGAGAGTCCGAACTTCGTTTTTTTTTTTTTTTTTTTTTTTTTTCGTGGTGTTTTTGGCCAGGAAACTTTTTTTGGGTAATTTCGGGCTTTTTTGGGGGGCATTTTGGGCTTTTTTTGGGGCATTTTTGGGGCATTTTGGGCTTTTTTTGGGTAATTTCGGGCTTTTTTGGGGGGCATTTTGGGCTTTTTTTGGGGCATTTTTGGGGCATTTTGGGCTTTTTTTGGGTAATTTCGGGCTTTTTTGGGGGGCATTTTGGGCTTTTTTTGGGGCATTTTTGGGGCATTTTGGGCTTTTTTTGGGTAATTTCGGGCTTTTTTGGGGGGCATTTTGGGCTTTTTTTGGGGCATTTTTGGGGCATTTTGGGCTTTTTTTGGGGCATTTTTGGCTTTTTTGGGGGGCACTTTGGGCTTTTTGGGGCATTTTGGGCTTTTTTTGGGGCATTTTGGGATTTTTTGGGTAATTTTGGGGTTTTTTTGGGCTTTTTTTTTGGGTCATTTTGGGATTTTTTTGGGGCATTCTGGGCTTTTTGGGGGGCATTTTTGGGGTCATTTTGGGCTTTTTTGGGGCATTTTTGGAGGTCATTTTGGGGCATTTTGGGCTTTTTTTGGGGCATTTTTTGGGTAATTTCGGGCTTTTTTTTGGGTCATTTTGGGGTTTTTTTGGGGCATTTTTTTGGGTTATTTTGGGCTTTTTTTGGGGTCATTTTGGGGCATTTTTTTGGGTAATTTTGGGGGTTTTTTTGGGGCATTTTGGGCTTTTTTGGGGGGCATTTTTTTGGGTAATTTTGGGCTTTTTTTTGGGGTATTTTGGGTTTTTTTGGGGCATTTTGGACTTTTTTTGGGGCATTTTTTGGGTAATTTCGGGCTTTTTTTTGGGTCATTTTGGGCTTTTTTTCGGTCATTTTGGGCTTTTTTTGGGGCATTTTTTGGGTAATTTCGGGCTTTTTTTTGGGTCATTTTGGGCTTTTTTTCGGTCATTTTGGGCTTTTTTTGGGGCATTTTGGGACATTTTTGGGCCACTTCGCGTTTGTTTTGGGGCATTTCTGGTTTTTTTTTTTTTTAGGGGATATTTTGGGGTAATTTCTGGCCTTTTTGGGAAGTTTTTTTTTTTTTTTGGTAATTTCCGGATTTTCTGGAGCAATCTTGGGGTTATTTCTGGCTTTTTTTGGGGCATTTTTAAAATCTTTTCAAGCATTTTTTGGGTCATTTCTGGATTTTTTGGGGTATTTTTTGCATAATTTCCAGATTTACTGAGCATTTTTGGGGCCATTTTTGGGATTTTTTGGGAACATCCCAACCATTTCCCCCCAATTTTGGGGACCCTTTCCCAGGAATATTCTGATTATTCTCCCCATTTTCGGGGATCCATTTTGGGATTTTTTGGGAGCATCCCAACGATTTCCCCCCATTTTCAGGACCCATTTTCGGGATTTTTTGGGACCATCCCAACCATTTCCCCCCATTTTCGGGACCCATTTTTGGGATTTTTTGGGAACATCCCAACCATTTCCCCCCATTTTTGGGATTTTTTGGGAACATCCCAATGATTTCCCCCCATTTTCAGGACCCATTTTCGGGATTTTTTGGGACCATCCCAACCATTTCCCCCCATTTCCGGGATTTTCACCTGGGGAGTGACCACAGTGACCAGGAGTGACCACTGAGTGACCACAGTGACCACTGAGCATGGCTGAGTGACCATCAGTGACCACTGAGTGACCACAGTGACCAATGAACCACCACAGTGACCACTGAGTGACCAGGAACCCTGCAGTGCTCTAGACCCTCCTCGTTCTCCCGGGACCTAAAGAGTGACCAGCAGTGACCAGTGAGTGACCACAGTGAGCACTGAGGGACCAGGAAGCCCCCAGACTGTTCTAGAACCTCCTCATCCTCCCAGGTCCCTCTGAGTGACCAATGAGTGACCAATGAGTGACCAGTGAGTGACCAATGAGTGACCAGGAGTGACCACAGCGACCGTGAACCGGACACAAGTCAGGAAATGTGGGAATGGGGTCAGGGA